TGTGATCCCAGACAAATAAAACAGCTTTTAAAGCTGCCCTGAGACTGTCACGCCACGTAAGTGACTGGAGGAGAAATGCGCCGCGTGGTTTTGTGACACGTTTCCCCAACTGTCCCGGTTGACAAATTAGCAACAACACATTTCCTCGAAGTTGAAAAGGTCAGCCTCAGTGTGGAGAATGTGGTGCTGGCTGGGGCAGAATTCTGAAGATGACACATGCTGTTCTTTTGGAGCTACACCAAAGGATACTTCTTTGGTTGTGCAAAAAACAGAAACAAACAAAAAACAAACACATGTCCAGATTATCATTAAAGGACCCTCGGTCCCCGGGGCAGAACCATATACGTGGTGACTTGACCAAAGCCACCATGCCTGGAAACTACGGGGACACAGAGGCTGGGTACCAGAAAGACAGTTTGTCTCCAGCAGGACCAGGAGAGCCTTGGGGACAGAGGGCACCCAGGCCCTGATCCCTTCCCTTTTGAGGCTTAGCATTATCGTTCTAGAGGAAATGAGATATCCTTGGCCAAGTCGTGTTGTAGCCTTAAAAAAAAAAAAGGAGGAAATCTTACTGTACGCAACGACACGGATGAACTTAAAACGTTATGCTAAGTGCAATAAGCCCGTTGCAGAGGACAGCTACTGCATGACTCTACTTGTACGTGGTAACTAAAATGGTCAAGTTCATGGCAGTAAAAGCACAGAACGGTGGGTGCCCAGTGGCTGAGGGGAGGGGGAAGCAGGGAGTGTTTGATCAATAGGTATAAAGTTTCAGTCATTCAAGTTCCAGAGATCTGCTGTACAACACTGTACTGGAGTGTGCACTTAAAAATCTGCTAAGAGGGTAGATCTCCTGTTAAGTGAAGGCAAGAAGGCAGGCAGGAAGGCAGGCAGGAGGGAAGGAAGGAGGGAAGGCAGGCAGGAGATGCAGGACGCAATTCCACCTGGAGGCACTGCCTAGAAAGGCAGAGCCGGGTCATGCAACGTGTCCAGGGTGGAGGGCTGATTCTGGCTGGAACCACTCAGCACCCCGCCCCCAGGGCAAAACGTCCTGTGGGAATTGGTGGCTAGAATTCAGTATGGACTAGGAGTTGTTATTCTGCGGCCCACAGGTGCAGCACCTCTGTTGCAAATGCAGAATGGCCAAGAAGGGTTCAGCCACTGAACCGCCAAGCATCCTCCAGGTTGCTTCCAACAGCGACGTGGTGTGGCAGCAGCTAGCGCCACGGGCAGGTCGACTAGGTTGGCGGCCTCAGGCTCCCTCTTCGCTTGGCCCTGGAAGCACCACTGATGAGTTTGGGAACGGAACACTGAAATTCTTAGGAGAAACCAGGAAGGGCTATCTATGCTCAAGAGGAAGATGCTAGACACCTTGGTAATAAAAAAAAATAGCTGAGGCATCTTAGTGATTAATTAGAAAAATAAAAGATATGAACAAATTTGCTGCACCCACAGGCAACGCTCAAGTGCTGAGCTTACTTTGGGTATCAGAGTGCGGGGAAAAGGAAGTAAAGCGCACGTTTAAATTATGTATATCTAACAACATGTATCAGGAATAAAGGTTTATGCTTCCTTTATGGCCAAACCCAGTCCTGACACCTTTGAAGTACCGAGAAAGCAGCCAGAAAGCAGCTGGCAAGGGAGACACTGTGCTCTGGAGGAAGAAGGGGGGACTGCTGCATCTCATCACACCTTTCTAATAACGCCTCCGCCCGTGCTTTTCCCTAGACAAGCTCCGAGGCCCAAACCGTCAAGCACTTGCCGCTCCCCAGCCACCCCAAGAGGAAAGGAACCTGTCAGCTTCGCTAAAAGGGAGTGGAAGAAGGAAAAACAAAGTCAAACGGAAAAGCTCAAGTTGCATCTCCTCCATCTGAAGGCAGCAGCAGCAGGCAGGAGAGGGAGAGGTTTCACCTGCACAGGGGCACCATGGCCCCTGGGGGGAGCAGGCCTGCGAGCGCAGAGTGGGCAAGCACCGAGGAGCGCGGGGAAGTTTTAATGAGCTGGAGCGGCTCTCTGATGGTCGCAGATGTGGAGATGGAAATGGAGCATTTGAAAGTGGGAGCTTTCGAAGAATAGGGTTTTTAGGAAGAGATTTTCCCTCTTGCCCTGTCTTCACGGCTTTGGATATATTCAAATGAGGCCTGAAGTCATCCCATAAGCCCCACCCCCTCCCTCGGGCTGGGGCTGGATCTGAGCGCCTGGAAGGTGGAACCCCGCAGGAGCCCCAGTCCAGCTAGTAGCCGCTGTTGCCCTGGGCCCCAGCAAGGGTTCACCGAGATGGCCTGGTGGCGGGGCGGGGGGGGGGGTGGGGGGACGGACTAAAAGGCATAAAATTAAAAACAAGACAAATGAAATCGGATCAAAGAAAGCACTGCTAGACTATACTAGCAGCTTAAATTACATTGACCACAACCGACAGGGATGGGGTAGTCGTGAGTAGTAAGTCCAGGCTCTGGGAAGAAATTATGGGCGAAATAACGATAGGTAACACCAGGGAAAGTCAATTGATTCACCCTCCCAGGGATGACTCAAGATAGGCTATAAAACCCATCAATCATACGGAGACACATTTCACTCGGCAAGGTCCCTAGACAGTCTAGGATCTGGATTTCCCAAACAGCTCCCAAGTTCCACCTAGAGCCAGAAAGGAGGCGGCAGCACAAAGACGACCTCTAGCTGACCTTCCGGTCCAGCTGGTCTTCACCCCGACCTCTGTGTGGCAGCCCCTGGCACTTCCTGGCCTGGGCACAGCCAGGCATTGTCAGCTATTAGGCAAGGGCTGCCCCTGGCTTGTGTTTCAGCGGAAGCCACACTATGCTACCGAGGCTGTCTCCACATAAACAGTTCCCGCACCCTCTCTGCCAGACCAGTCTGAGCCTCATCCTGTTAGCCGCAGGTTCCTCCTGCCACCTCCCCAGAGCGCCCCAAGTTCCCAAACTCCCTGCTATTTCTTACGGCGGCTGAGCAGGAAAGCAATCTGATTCGACTCCTTCACGCCAGCCCTCTAAGGATTCTCTCTTCGGAAGAGCAGGCCAGGTGTTTCAGCCTGTGCAGGGGAAGTCAGGGACCTCCTCCCGACCTCTCGTGCAAGAGGACTCTCGTGAGAAGAGAAGCGTCCATCCCCATGCCCTCCCCCACCTTCCTGCCATTACCCTGTGGGCGAAAGGCTCGCCCACTGCTCCCTGGGCTGCTGCTCCCTGGCTTGGACCTGCCCGTGAACAGGGGAACCTATTGCTGCAGAGACAGGGAGGAGGTGCAGTTGTCTGGCTTCAAGACGAGGAAGACTCTGGAAACCCAGTCCTACCGCTAGAAGAGGGATTCTAGATCCCTGCTAGAGGAGGGTTTCTTCTGTTCAAAGACTGAAGGGGCCCAGAACTTGGGTTTCAGATCCACAGGTCTTCAGAACAGGGGGTCTGCACAATCTCCGCTCCCCAACATCCTACATCCTGAGCAAAGGTCCCGCATGTTCTCCCGAGTCCTGCTCCCCACACCTCCATCTCCTGCAGGGGGTTCTGGGACTCCTCAGCTGAGTGGCTGCCCCAGGTCAGAGCCGTCAAGGGCCCCGCCTCTTCCTCAGGACCCTTCTAGCAGAGACATCTCCGACCGGAGCCCGCAGCTAAGAGGGTCTCAATGGGTCGGGGGTGTGGGAGTGAGGAAGACGGCCCGATGCCTCCCAACACCCGCTCGGTCACCTGAGCTCTCTTTCATAGGGTAGGTCACCTGCTTCCAACTGAAAAGTACAGTGGAAGGACATTACTCTCAGAAAGTCCTTGGCAGGAGAGGGTTCTACGTTTATTTTTCTTCGGATGCTCTTAGAGCTAGCTTAAAGAAAGACAGGGATCTCCATCTACCAGAGTAAGGCTTAAATTGACCAGAAACTCAGCTCGCCAGCATCTTCGAAATATCAGACTGTTTTTCCTGCTTTTCAGAAATGGGGCACCTATGCAAACACAAACACATAACACACCCTCCTCTGCTTGTGCACTGCGAGCATCTGCGGGTGCCCGGGGTTTTGTCAGAGACGGCATCTGAGGCTCCTGGCTCTACCCTGGGGACACAGCACAGGTGTTGTCACCATGAGGCCTCCTCCGAACCTCCAGCCCCGGATCCAGCCTTGGCATCTGTGGCACCGGCGTCACCCGAGGCCATAAAGACTTAGTCTCTGCTGATCAAAATCTACTTGCTTCAATCAGCAACTGAAGTCAGTCCTACACCCTGGAAGGACACACATCAAATCATTGATTGTGACAGTCGGGGGCGAGAGCTGCATGAAGGGAGACCTTCTCCCCTCTACCTACTTCTGTATTGCTTTAGAGAGAGAGAGAGAGAGGAGAGTGAATGGGTAGGGGAATGCATTCATGGACTCCTTCAAACATTAAAATAAGTGGCCCCAAGGGCAAAGGAAGCAACTGTTTTCAACATCAGGGCCCAGGCTTAGCAGGGGGCCTGATGGAGGCTGGGATCTGGAAGCGTGGCCGAGCGGCAAGGTGGCCACTCCTCCTAACCACGTTGAAGAATCAGTGGCCCAGAACAGACCCGGGGATCCTGGCAGTTCTCTTCAGGGCTCGGACACAGCCCCATCCCTCCAGTGTTCTGACCTTGATGGCCAAGAGCCTCAGTATCTCCAGCCCCTCCCCCCCAACTTAACCCCTTGTGCCTCCTGGAAGCATCTCAGGGCACGTGGAGTGCGCATGTGCCTTCGAGCTCACCTGGCCTCAGGTGCCTCTGACTGCTTACCAAGAGCAGAAGTATTCACCTCACTCCAGCATCTCTCAAAGCCTGCCCCGGTCAAAGAGGGGAACCTGCCCCAGCACGAGAGCCTGCCCAGCTTTTGAAGAATGGTGTGTCAGACGCAGACGCCAGTTTCTGGCTAGTCCCTCTCAAAGACTATCCTCCCCTCCCACCTCTCCCTCGGTTGATACAAAATGGGAGCTTGGCCACAGAAGCAGCCACAAAGGTTCTCCCTGCTTCCTCATGCATCACCCAGCCCCGGCACTCACCTGCAGATGTAGTTTGTCTTGCAGGAGTCCTGCAAGTTCAAGCAGTTGGGCTTCTCCCTCTCCTCGTAGGAGCACACGGGCACGATGGTCTGCCGCCGCCGCTCGGTGCAGGCCACGTCCCTGCAGGAGCAGAAGAGCATCCCGTAGCTGTGCTTGGCCGGGACCTTGTCGAAGAACTGCCTCAGGGCCTTGTGGCACTTGCGCCGGTTGCAGACTTCGTTGGACACGCTGGTGGTGCACGGGGTGATGTAGGCGGACCTGTACTTCTTGCAGGTGTCGTCGAGGTTGCAGGCCTTGGCGGCGTCCAGGCAGTTGTTGCCCTTGGGGATGTGCTCCACTGCAAAGGGACAGAAAGGCGGGCGTGATCACCATGCTGGGTGCCCGGGCTGTGCTCTCAGGCTCCTGTGTTTGGATCGAGACCTCGCATTTAACCTGGCAGTACTGGGAGCTCTGATCAACTCTGAGGTTGTTTTTTTTTTAAAGCTAATAACTTAATGAGTCCGAGACAAGGAGGAAATATCGAGTGCCAACGCTGGGAGCCCACGGCAGAACACAAACCCCTAGCACTCGCTTAGACGTGTAATTAGGAGGTACTGAGAGAGGTCCAAGGAGCTCCGGCACCTGCCCAGCTACGTAGAAACAAAGCAACGGGAGGAGAAGTTTCCAACTCCTGGTTGGTAAACTGAAATTAGGGTAAAAGAAAAAGCGACAAATTATATACTTGTTCATTATACAGTATATAAATCGATATGCTGAATGTAACTGTAATTGCCATGCAATCCTCCAGGAATATAATTATGTAATAAATGCATATAGTGTATGCTAATTACTATATGATTACACAGTAATTGCATGGTTATTGGAGCCCAGAAGACAAAATATTATGCCAGCTTCTCTAAACAGAAAGAAGCAACTACAGCGAAGCTGTATTTAAAAGTTCTAGCTCACAGGCCATTGGAAGAAAACCAGAGTAAGTTACATAAAAATTTACAAATCTCCATTACCACTGAACTTACCATCTATAAAATACGGGACCCATAAGTATTAAGGTTGCAGATTAGCAAACTTCGGCTAGTATTTTGGGTGGGATTTCAATGGGCCTACAAACCACAGGCCTTGGGAATCTCACAAAACCCATTCCACTGCCCTGACCAGTGAGGCTCTGTTGGGTGGGCGTCATCCACAAAGTGAAAGTTCTCAGGTTTGATTCCCGGTCAGAGCACACGACTAGGATGCGGGTTTGGTCCCTGGTTGGGGTGTGTACGAGAAGCAACGGATCAATGTTTCTTCTGTTCGTCAATATTTCTCCCCCTCTCTTTCTCCCTCCCCTCCCCTCTCTCTAAAATAAATAAATAAATGTGTTGGTTTTTTTTTAATAAAAACATGTGCTGCCTTCTGCCCAAGCCCTCTGCTGTCAGAGACACGAGGGCTGTCCGCTGGCAGCCTGCAGAGAGAGCTTCGTGGCGGCAGGGCCCACAGGGATGGCTGGGCGGGCTGGCAGAGCCAAGCCCAGTGAGTAAAGTGAAAAGGTAATTAGACAAGAGAAAATAATCTCAGTCACCACGATACAGGTGTTTCCACAGAGAGAGGAAGTGATGGAAACCCCCCAGAGCCCAACTATACGGCGGTCCATGGAAAATTGATAAATTATAACAGCAACCCTCTGGAAACAACAGGGGGGGCCGCAAACACCACACAATTGTGGAATGTGACCCCCAGCGAGTTCCTGCTCAGACCTCAGCCCTTCCTTGGATTCTGGAACCTATTCTGGAACCTTCTTTCATTCTCTCTGTGATCCCAGGCAATGCAGACCATGAAGGTAATGGTAAGAGAGCTGACAACAGAGGAGAAAGCGCCCGGGTGGGTTGGGTGGGACTAAGACAAGGCACTGCATTCAGTGCGAGCCTGAAGGGCGCGTGGAATATTATGCAGCCTTAAAAAAGAAGGCGATCCCGCCACATGTGACAACCCTGATGAACCCTGGGGACATTATGCTAAGTGACATAGGCCCATCGCAGAAGGACAAACACAGTATGATTCCACTTACATGAGGCATCTAACACCCTCAAACTCGCAGATGCAGGGAACAGAAAGGTAGCTGGGGAGGGGGCGAGGGGGAAAGGGGCGTTATTCTTCGAGGGGTACAAAGCCTCCGTCAGGCACGACGAGTGTGTCGTGGGGACCTGCTGTACAACATAGCGCCCACACTTAACAACACTACATTGGACACTTAAACATCTGTGAAGAGGGCAGATCCCATGTTGCGCACTCTTACCATAATGAAAGAAACTTTAAAATAAGTGAGTCAGTAAAGAACACACGCAGCCAAGTCCCGCATTTCTCTCCATCGTACCGACAGTGCGCCTTGCTATAAGAAAACCCCAAACGCAAAAATCTGAGAACCAAATCGCACCCTGGCGCCGCAAGCAGTATTTCACTCTGCTCCAGGTTCACGTTTCCGCCCGGGACATCTGAATCCGACCAGTTAATGGGGCAGGCAATAAACCAGACGCTCGGCCCTTCGGAGGGGAGCAGCGCGCAGAGCCAGCAGCTGCGCCCCTGTCCCTGCTGCTCTAACAAGCGCACCTGGTACATTTTCTCCGTCACGGCCTTCCCGGCCCAGCTTCTCTCTGGCCCCTGTTCTCATACTCAGGCTCTTTAGGGCTCCAGGAGGGAACTACTACTTACCGTGAGCCCTGGTAAGATCACCAAGCCCTCCAGGCCTTGGTGACGCTTCTTGCCTTTTCTCCTTTTGAGACTTCTAATGTGGTTCTACTGGGCCCACGGCAACAGAGATTTATGTTCTTGTAGGTCTATGGTTCACGTGGAGATTTCTGAATTACGCTTTTTTGATGATCATCTAAAATGCATTAATATGACCAATCTCTAAATCGTCTAGATTTGGCCTAGCAGGCTGGATATGGGTACACAATTTGCTGCGTGCCTTAACACTTGTATTGGTATTAAATGATACTCTATAACGTCTGGCTAAGAAGAAAAGAATAGAGGCATAGAAGTAGAATTAACACTCAAAGGATGCAGCTAGTGATACACGAACAAACAATGGCTCATGTAAATTCAAAGGGAGCAAAGTGGCAGGAGAATTGTCATCATGTGGTAGCCAGTGAGACAGACCTGGCAAACTGCAAAGAACCCCCACGGAGACAGGGCGCTGCCTTGAGTGTCAGCCCCACGTTAGCTTCCGCAGAACCGTATCACCCCTTACGTTAAACCAATGCGATTAACTCGCATTGCGTTATTTTCAAACTTTTGTTCCCACTTAATCTGTGTGCCTTGCTTTTATAGTCGCATAAAAGCAAAGAATAAGAGCAAAGCAATAAACTTAAAAATGTTTCAGTTTATTGGTTTCAAATAAAATTATAACAAAAGGAATAAAAGTCAACAAATAAGGCCAGGAAATTTAATTTGCTCTGAATGTAGTCCACATAATACACAAGTTTTAAAAAATTGGCCTGGAAAAAAATAAGTTCCTTACACGGGTCTTGACAACAACTTTTTGGATATGATGCAAGCAACAGAATAAAAATTAAGTGAGCAGGACGACACTGAAAAACCTGTGCAACAAAGGAAACGGTCACAAAATGAAAAGGCAGCTAGCTGATGGGATGGGAGAAAATATTTGCAGATTATGTATTTCACATGTGGTTAATATCTAAAATATGTAAAGAACTCACATAACTCAACAGCATAAAAACAAATAACCCTGTTTAAAAATGGGCAAAGGATTTAAATAAACACTTTTCTCAAGATATTCAAACAGCCAATAGGTACATGAAAAGATGTTCAATATCACTAATCATTAGGGAAATATAAACCCAGACCACAGTGAGATACCACCTCACACCTGTAAAAATGGCTTCTATTAGTGTATCAACAAACAGTGAGCATCATTGAGGACGTGGAGAAAAGGGGACCCTCACGCACTGTTTGTGTGATGGCAGATTGGTGCAGCCACTGCGGAAAACAGTGTGGGGGCTCCCCAAAAATTAGAAATAGAACCACCTTATGACTTAGTCATTCCACTCTGGGTATTTACCTGAAGAAAATGAAAACACTAACTCAAAAACATATATGCATTTCCCTATGTTCACTGGGGTGTTCTTTATAATAGCCAGGATAATGGAAACAACTCAGGAGTCTGTCAACAAATGAATGAATAAAGAAATGAAAATATGTATACACAATGGACTATTGGCCACAAAAAAAAGAAGGAAATCCTGTCATTTGCAACAACATGGATGGACCTCGGGGGCATTATGTTAAGTGAAATAAATAAAAAAAGACAAATACTATATGATCTCACTTATATGTGGAATCTAAAATCAAGAAGTAAAACTCAAATGAAAAAAAATCGTATTTGTGGCTAGCAGAGGCTGGAGAAGAGGGTGGGGGAATTGGATACAGGTGGTCAAAAGGTACAAATTTCTTGTTATAAGGTAAATAAATCATGGGAATGTAATCTATAAAAATACAATGACTGTAGTTAACACTTTCCCATGGTATATTTAAAAGTTGTTAAGACAGTAAATCCTAATAGTTGTCATCACAAGGAAAAACACTTCTCCTCCTCCTTTCTCCTCCTCCTCCTTCATTTCTCTGAGGTGACAGATGTTAACTAAACTTGTAATCATTTCACAATATATTGAAGTCAACTCATTATGCTGCACAGCTAAAACCTACGCAGTGCTGTATGTCAATTACATCTCAATAAAACTGAAACTGGCCTAGCGTATACTTGCTGTTACAATAACAAGAACTTCCTTTCGGAAGCTGTTAAAACTGCAAAAACTACTAATTAATTATGTTCTTTGTAATGGTAGCAAGAAAGAAAAGCAGTATTTCAAAGAGAAAAGCTTCGTACAAAGTGAGACTAGGATGAACGATTTCATATCCGAACCAGTTGCTCAAAGGTTACCCCACTTAGCAACCGATGTGACTCAGCCTCACAGCTGGTTCTGTTTTCTCCAATACCCAACGCTGCCAAAGTGCCATCTCCTCACCAGTATTTCAAAGCCTGTGACAAATGTCAGCATCCACAAGCTGGCACATTCAGAGAGGCAAAAAACTACGAACTCGTTTGCAGCTCCCAGGACAGCGCTGGGCTTCCTGTGTGCTCTTGACCCTCATTCACAAGAACACATTCTCATGACCCTTTCCAACTCAGTGTATGAGACCAGTACCACCTAGCTAGCAGAACCTGACAAATGCAAAAGAAAAAATTACAGACTAATATTCCTTACGAATAGAGATTCAAAAACCTTTATTATGTAGCATTTACAAATATGTGAAAAGCATAATACATCATGATCAACTGAG